AACGTTGCAGGACGCACGGTGGACATCGTCCGGGTAAAGGGATGTAAAGTACTGGGTCCACATGAAGTTTGTAGCGAGGGGCTTCACAAGCTTGCAGGCGCTGGCCTCTCTTAGCGCCCATTAACTTTCACCCAAATCCGCACGTGACTCACCGAACAAAGGCTCGTTTTCGCGTCAATAACTATGTAACTGTCTCGACCGGCGGACCGCAGACGATAGCGGTATCCGGGGCTGTGTATCAACAAACAGACAAACCTCTTCAATCCCCAACCCCTATCAGTCCCGAAGTCCTCGCTTCCACTTCAACCCCCGTCCACCCCCATTCCGCCACCCACAACACCTCGATCGATTTCTTTTTCCCACTTCAATAACATCAACAGAGAGAGAGGGAGAGAGAGAGAGAGAGAGAGAGAGAGAGAGAGAGAGAGAGAGAAATGCAATCACGTAGGCTGCCAGGATAAAACAGGCCGCCCTGGATTAAACTGAGATGTGATCCATAATGGAGTTCGGCAACAGCTTGGGATGCCTAAACAGCCCTATTTAGGGAGAGCTAAAAAAGGTGCCCTAAACAAAACTGCGTTCACGACAGTGGCACGCAGAGCACGGCAGGCAGACTGTTACACATGCAGTCAAAACCATCAAAGCAGAACCAATACTCTCTCTCTAACTTTATCTCCTCCTCCCCTTCACGCCATCCCATAGGCTGCTAGGTCGAGTCATCTCACTCGTCCCTTTTCAGAAAATCCCTGGGGTAACCGACAGGAAAAAAGGACGGCGCTTGAGGCTCGGAAACTTGCGCACTAAAAGGTGGACGCTGCTGCACTCAGCGAGACCCGCTTCTCCAAACGAGGGCAAATGGAGGAGGCGGATGCCAGATGCAACTTCCGCCGCAGAAGCCGCCCCAGGGCAGAGCGACGAGATGCGAGCGCCGCCCTTGTCGTCTGGAACGACATCGAGAGACGACTGCCCTGTCTGTCGCAGTGCATCAACCACCGACTGATGAGTCTTCGCCCACTCCTTCAGGATCCAACTTCGCCACCAGCGCCTACGCCCCACCAATGACTGGGTCAGTCGAAGAGGAGGCAAAGTTCTACGAAGATTTGTACGGCCTACTGGCGCCTGTGCCGAAGACGGATAAGTTGACCGTCCTTGGTGACGTCAATGCCCGCGTCGGAACAGATAGCATTGCCTGGGGGCAGTACTGGGCAGTTACGGAATCGTCGGTTGCAACGACAATGCCCTGCGTTTTCTGCAGACCTGTGCTGAACACCGCCTTCTACTAGCCAACATATTATTCCCCTGCCGATGCAGAGGAAGCCTACCTGAATGCACTCCCAAACACGTAGATGGCAGCTGTAGGACTACTTTCTCGTCCGGTGGCAAGATTGGCGTGACGTGATGAGAACCAAAGCGATCTGCGACGGGCTGTATAACTCTGTCAGCCGCTTGCGCCCAATTTCATTAACAGATTACTGACCGGCTAGGACAGTGGACTGATTCCTCAGAGAGGGAAGGGAGAGTGAGGTCGACTCCAGGGACTACGCCCTCACGACACGCTGGCGCATATCATTCACATTAAACAATCTGGCATGCATTTAAACTATGTCAGTAGGCTTAAATCCTTCATTTGGAAGGCTGGCAACTGACGGGATAACTCGGTCCTCGATCTCAGGACAGAGTGTCAGGCTACAATGTTACCGTCTTAATGTGGCCTCTATCTCACTCTCATTTAGCTAGAATCTGAGACGCACCTTTAATGTTTTTGCGAAAATCTGGGCTATCGTGCGCGAATCAGGCGTGTGTGGCACGCGCAGGCAGGCAGGCTGTTTAGCATCGTCAGCCTCTGCGTCCGATATCCCTCCCAGTATTGGCTACTTTGTCTTGACACCGGGCTCAAGTGGGTGAGGGAGGAGAGAGTGCGGTAGATGCAGCGCTAGTCTACATTCACTATGACCTGGCTCAGCCACAAATCACCTTCCCTGCTCCCGCCACATTCTGGGGCACATGGTGGTAACGTCGTCCACGTCGGTCGATCTGACTATTCAAACACAGAACTGACGCCGACAATGCGGCTTCCTTTCGAGAGCGAGGCCTGGTGTAGCAGGGGCTGGGGCAGATGCGAATGAATTGAATTGAAGTATATTTTGCTAACACATTTCCGACGGGTCAATTCTCCTGGCCGAAATTTTAGGGTACTGGGTTAATTGCCTCAGTGACGTCCTTAATCGATTATTTACAATTTTCGAGGAAGCCATTATAAGCCTGTCAAATGAAAATTAGCGCACACCTCGCCTCTTCGTCCTTGCCATAAGGGTCCATGTGAGCTATACAGCAATGTCTAGTTGCATCTTGTTCTGACTCGAGCCTAACTGAAATCTACTAAGGCGGCGGCCAACACTCATGGACACTGTTTCATACGTGGAGGCAGAGACAAACATAGAGGAATTTCAAGGATGCCATCGTTATTTAACTATACAAGCATAAGGGAAATCGGTATCTAGGCGACAACCAAAGGGGCAGCTCCCTCCTCAAAAAGCATGCTTAATTTTTGTCCGCATTCCTTACAGTCGTCTAAATCTCCACCTAATGCATGAACTTATTATTGAAATGACACTACCGTCGAGATGATCTTTCCTGCCGGTCAACTGCGCGAAAAGTGCTGAGAAATTAGGCCCGGACTCTACACCACCCATGTAGATTCCATAAAGGCCCTCGGTAAAGCCAACTGCGAGGGGCTCTAGAAAATAATGCTGAAATTCGGCGTCCGAAGCCTTTAACGCAGGTGGTGCGGCGTCTCCATGACAGTATGATTGTTCGCATTCTGTAAAACTCGGCAGCCTCGCAAGCATTCAGTCTCAAATGGGATGAATGAAGGTATTACGTTAACTCCAACCCTCTTTACCTTCATGTTCTCCTCCATGCTGATGAGAGCCTACCGTGAGGAGCCGACAGAAATAAACATCGTCTATCAGATTGACGGACATTTGCTCAACATCTGACGAATGCAGTCATCTACGCGGGTCTGCGCAACTAACGTCCATGATCCCCTGCCTGCTGATGATTGCGCGCCGGGCACAACGAACTACGAGCCATTTCGCTTAGGGCTGCTCCAAATTCAGTATAATGAGCCTAGAATCAGCGTGAATGGAACTGGTCTTTTATCCGTTGGCAAAGTCGCATCCGGGCGTTGTTACTTAAAATTCTGGTCAAGTCTTCGTTGTGGACTGCGGGATGTGGTGGCGTGCCTAGATGCAGGTCCGGCCATGCCAGCCACCTGCGCCCTCTCCCGCCTCCGGTCCCCTTGACTCGGTCTTGACACTGTGCCCAGGTGAGGAAGGAGGAGAGAGTACGGCGGATGTTGGGAAAGTCTAGTCTCATTGTTAATTTACGCACAAGTCACCGTGCCTGCTCCATAGGAAGGTAGAGCCGGCACAGTTGTTTGCGTGTGATTTAGCTTATATTGATGGTAGACTTGCGCTGCACCCACCGCAATCTCTCCTCCCTCAGCTGGACCCGGTGTTAAGACTGATCTAAGAAGACCGAAGGCGGGGAGGACGCAGGTGGATGACACGGTCGAGCCCGTACCTTGGCACTCCACTCTCCCTGGTCCATACAGCAAATGACCGGGATTTTAAGAAACAGCAAAAGGGCGACTGGCACAGTCGGAGCCGAAGCTAGGTGTGCCGTTAAATCTGGCTCGGATCGCACAGAATGGGAATTCCATAAAAACCACATTAAGAAGGAGCCATTGCAGCCTGACTCTCAGAATTCTAGCCGGTTATTCCACACGCACAACACTGGGGCGACTGCGAAGTCCAAGTTATCCCGTCAGTTAGCAACTTTCCAAACCACGACTTTTAGAGCACCGTGATAGCTTCAAGGGCGTCGGATTGTTTATAGTGAAGAAAATGTGCCGAGTCGTCGACCTCCCTCTGCCTTCTCATTCCCAGGTCACAGCAACTGTCGGGGCCGGTCAGTTGACAGGTGTGGGGAATGGGCGCGGTGGCTGACATATCTAGTGACCTTGTCTGCGCGCGCCACATGCATGACCTGGCTCGCCAAGCACAAACATCAAAATTTCACATAACGGGGGTTGAGCGGCGCACATCTCACATGCGTGAGAGTACCGTGGGTCACGTTTAGAAGGGGCCGCTTCAGCGTGGCTCTTAGCCCACCAGTCCGTCACTCCAAACATGCATACACACAACTGGGCAGACTGCGTGGACTGAGTTCGGGCGTCGGTCAACAGACTTCCAAGCCGCAGTGCTTGACACGCCGTGATAGCCTCAAACTCGAATCACACATGCAGCAAAGAGGAAGCATTACGACTGGGCCGGGACGCACACTTTCCACTTGCGTGGGAGGTGACAGCTGGATGCTTATGGTGAATGATGATGTTGCGTGATGTAGATGGAGAAAGATGTGGTGGTGCGGCTTAGCCGGCGGTAGTCAGCCGCAGATTTTGGTGGCCTAATAGGTCCATTCGGTTGGTGGATGTGGGAGTGCAGTGAGGGCAGTTGAGGCAGATGCGGCGAGTGTATGTGGGTTCACCAGCCTCGTAGGTGACCGACCAGGCAGACAGGAAAAGTCGGCGGTGTCAGTGTCGGTTTCGGACAGTGGTGGAGCTTCTGATGGTGGACACGCTGGGCGATGGAGTGTGGCTTGAGCTAGGTATGGTGGATATGCAATATGTGCTGAGTGTGGCGGGCTGATGGTGGTGGGTGTGCTGGGCAGTGGGTTGTGGATTGAGATAGGCATGGTGGACGTGCATGAGGTGCTAGGTGTGTCGATACTGCGGTCACTTCCACTCTCATGGATAAGCGTGGGACCAAATAGGCCCATGCAGTGAGTGAATGTGCGAGGGGTAGTGTGGACAGCGGAGGCTAATGCGGCGAGTATAGGTTGGTGTTCCAGACACCGGGTCACCAGTCTCTGTACGATGGATTCGCAAGTGACCGACCAGGCCAATGTGTGAGGTGAAGGTGCGGTCGCAATCAGGACAGGTTGGGACCGAGTCCACATCGCTGGTGGTGGCAGTGGTGTGGTTAATGTTTGGCAGTGTGTTAGGGTTGAGTGCAGTGGTGGTGGGTACAGGGGACGCCGTGGCTGATTTGGAGGCAATGGGGAGGAGGAGGAGGAGGAGAATGGTAGTGGGGGTTCAGGAGTGCGGTCAGTGTTGGTTGTCGGCGTGGACGGTGAAGCAGAGCTAGACTAGGAGACAACAGCTAATGTAGCCTTGGCGTCGCAGTTGGTACGAAGGTGCCCCACAAGGCCGACTGGTGCCCGGAACGTCCGCGGACAGCGTGGGCAGGTCGGGGGTTGTTGAGCTTTGGCGTTGCGAGATGATCGCAGTTGGAATTTGTCAGCCTCGCGTTCGGCTTTGGCAGTGGTGATACAGTTGACCTCGTAGATCGTTGCGCCTGTCTTCCCCGTCTTCCTCTTGGTCAGTCGGTCTTGGGTGAGGTCTTCCCAGTTGGCCGGGTTGATCTGCAGACACTTCAGGGAAGTCTTCAGAGTGTCCTTGTGGCGAGAGTCTTGGGCTCCTTTCTGCTGGAACCCGTGGCGGCATCTCCGTAGAAGAGTCGTATGGGTAGCCGCTCGTCGTCTATCCATACGAGGTGGCCTCTCCAACGCTGTTTCAGCTATTTCAGCATGGCGTAGATGCTGAGAATTTCCGTCCGCTCTAGTATATCCGTGTCCGGGATCCGGTCCCGCCTCTTCAGTTTTAATACCCGTCGAAGGCAGCCGAGATGGGAATGATTGAGTCTCCGCGCCTGCTTCTTGTACACCATCCATGTCTCCGCTGTATACAGCAACGTCGGCAGGATTACCGCTTTGTACATATTTAGTTTGATGCTCATGTGTAGACCGTGACGGTTCCAGTCGTTGCTTTGCAGAAGGCTGAAGGCTTGGCTAGCTTTAGAGATCCAGAAGACCACTTCATCGTCGATCTTGGTAGTGCAGGAAAGGGTGCTGCCCAGGTAGATGAAGTTGTCCACGACTTGCAGTTGAGCTCCGTCCACGTTGATTTAGGGTGCGACGTAGGCAGTGTCGGTTGGTGGTTGGTGTGTAACCACTGTTTTCTCCGTGTTTATGACCAGGCCAAGGTTATCGAGGCGTCGAAGAGGTCTATGCTCCGTTACGTTTCCCCTTGGGAGGGTGGCGTTGAGAGCGGCGGAGAGAAGTTCATGGACGTAAGTTGTGGATACACGCGACTGGAAGTGCATCAGCCAGTGGTTGAGGATTTGGCCGTCCGTCCGGTAGGCGATGCGGATCCCCGGGCGTTCGTCACGGTAGACGTCCATCAGCATGGCAGACAACATGAAACTGAAAAGGGTAGGCGCGAGGACGCATCCCTGCTTCACTCCGTTGGTCACTTCGAATGACTCTGCGACAACTTCACTGTCCGTGACTCGCGCAACCATGCCATCGTGGGGCTGGCGCACCATCTGAGTGAATCGCTCAGGACAGCGGAATTTCCGCAAAATTTTCCATAGTCCCTCGCGATTCACCATGTCGAAGGCCTTCGTCAGATCCACAAAGGTAGAGTAGAGGAGGGTCTGCATCTTCTGACACTTCCCTTGCAATTGACAGGCTGCGAAGATCATGTCGGTGGTCTCACGGTGATGGCGGAAGCCGCAATGGCTTTCCGGCAGGAGACCCTGTTCCTGGGGGGTGGTTCAGGTGGTTGAGGAAACTGCACCCGAAGATTTTCCCGGTGATGTTTAGCAATGAGATGCCTTGATGGTTGTCACAAAGCTTGTGGTTACCTTTCCGCTTAATGAGATGGAGGATTTTGGCGTCCTTGAAGTCCTGCAAGACTTCTCCTTGACGCCATGTCTCTTGGAATGGCGCCTTCAGATAATCCATGAATTATGTCCACCGTGCATGTGAATCTCAGCGGGGATTGCGTCCAATCGGGGCGCTTTCCCGCTGGAGAGCTGTTGTACAGCCCTGATGGTTGCTTGGAGAGAGGGCGGGAGGTTGAGGTCGGCGTTAGTCTCCACTTAAGGTAGACTGGCGATGGTAGCATCGGTGATGGTGGAAGGGCGGTTGAGGACGTTTCTGAAGTGCTCGGCCCATTGCTGTAGAATTTGTGTCTTCTCGATGAGTAGGGTGCTTCCGTCGCGCTAATAGTAGCAGTGGCTTTGGTTTGCGGACTGCAGACAGCCTTTATCGTGTAGAAATTCCTCCATTAATTGCAATCCATGTAACCTTGGATCTCCTCAGCCTTGCGAGCCGTCCAAGCGTCCTTTATCTCCTGCAGCCGCTGTTGCACAAGTCAGTGACTACGGTAGAAGGCTGCATAATTGTCGTCGGTGGGGCGGCTGACGTAGGCCTTCTTCGGGCGGTTCTTCTGGGCGGGTAGGTTGTTGATGGTGACGCCGCTGTCATGGAAACAGTCCTAGTGTTGGCGATGTGCGCGACCGAGTACAGCCAGTACCGTCGACTGAACTGTGTCTTGTAGTTGACACCACCAGTTCTTCACGGTGGCATTCTCTTCGGTGGACGCGGTAGCGGCGAATGGAAGGCTGACTAGCTATTGCGAGATCTCATTGTTGAAATGGAGGTGGCGAACAGGCTGAGATGCTGTAGGCGAATCCGCATCTTGGAAATGACGAGACGATGGTCGGTCCACCCGTCGGCACTCGGCATCGCCTTTGCCACCAACATGTCCTGCTGGTCTTGCCTCCGGACGAGGACATAGTCCAGCAGGTGTCAGTGTCGCAACCGAGAGGGCATCCAGGTGGCCTCCCCTCGCATCGGGAGGCGGATGAAGGTGATGCTCAGGGCAAACTGGTGTTCTGCGCAGGTTCGTAATAAGAGCAGACCATTGTCGTTGGAGTCGTTCAGACTATTGGGACCCAGCACTCCTCCCCAAGCATCATGGTCTGTGCCGACGCGGGACTTGAAGTCACCAAGGACAATCAACTTATCTGCCTTCGGCAAAGACGCCAGGAGGGCGTGCGGGTCTTCCTAGAATTTATCCCTTGTACCATCAGGGCTGAGCATCGGCGAGGCGTAGACGCTGACGATGACGACGAATTTGCCTCCCCGAAGAGGCAGGCGGAGGCTCACCAGGCGATCGTTGACGTCCTTTGGCAGACAGGGCAGTCTTCCCACCACGTCATTTCGGATGGCGAAGGCGATGCCCGCGTCCCGTCGCTCTGCCCTGGGACGGCCGCTCCAGAAGGTGTAGCCGGCACCCACCTCCTCCAGTTGGCCTCGTTCGGGGAACCGGGTGTCGCTGAGTGCAGTGATGTTCACCTTGTAGAGCGCCAGTTCCCGTGTCGCTAGCTCACTTCTACTTTCCGGTTGGTTCTTCCTTTGGACTGTCTAAAAGGGAACGAACATTCCAGGCTGCCAGAGTGAGCGGACCTATCCTACCAACCTGCGTGTTATCACGCACTCCGCCCACTCAGCCAAGTGGCGCAGCTCACATCGTTGCGAAGTAAAAACGGCGTCACCACGCCGGGGGACCATCGTGGACCAGGCGGCACAAACCTAACCACGGACGTAGTCCCCCCGCACGGAACAATGACATAAATTTTCACACGTTGCTGCACTCTAGCAGTCTCTGATGATGAACTCCAGTTCGAGTTCGAAAGCTAAGGCCAATAAATCTACCGTCCCAGTGATCGTGCCTTCGTCTTCTTTTAAATAAGAGCCTGGGATGCGCATACTCTCTTCCATTCGAGAGATAGAGTATGTTGTTTCTTGTTTGGTTGTCTCGACCGTGAGTTTTGCGTCCGAGGCCACGGTCAGCCTGCAGACGACGTGGATCCCCAGCATTTGTTTAGGGCACCTCTTCTGGCCCCTTCCCCCTCGCGGGGGTGAGCGGTGCTCTCCCTAAATAGGGCTGCTTAGTTGTCCCAGACGGCTGCTGGACTCCGCTATGGGCCACGTTCTTTTTTTAGTTGGAGGACGACCCAAATTAGCTTGGGCCTGCCTACGACATTGCCTTGGGACTTGGAGGGGGAAGGTGGATGGGACAAGGGTAGGGAGACGGGAGGCAGAGCTTTCCCGTCGTTCTCCAAACGAACAGGTTGCTGAAATATAGGCGGTGAGCGAACAGATTCAAAAGAACGACATTTAGCGTGCAGCATGAGCAAACAGAAACAAGCAGACAAAAGGCAATCAGGCAAGGACAGCGGAAGGCAAAAGCAACAGAGGAAATTCAACAGAATGGCATCTAGCTTTCAGCAAAGACAAACACATACAAGCAGACAGACAGCAATCTAACAGGGCAGTGTTCGCCTACCTGTGGTACCACTTACCTTGTCACCCCTAGGGTGTTGCAGACGGAGTCTCATCCTCTAGATGTCGAATCAGTGGTCCATCCGGCCGGTGGGGCCGAGTTACCGTGCGTTGAGATGCTCAGACGGATATCATCACCTGGTTTGACTCGCCGGTCGAGGCGATTACCGGAGGGTGGCTTCGGGAAGCCACATGCAAGATTTGGTTGCCATTAAATGGGTTCCAGGCGTGGTATACATCTGCTAGCAAGTGAGCGACCTACTTCGACCATCACGCGGACCCCCAACTGGACATCTCTACACCCCACATGGGCATACACAACTGCTATGTCAGCACGACCAACTGCACCCGAAAACGTCTCTACCACCAGCTTCACCGCCACTAACAGCCCCATAGATATAGTCTTATCCTATCCTTACTGTTTCTGTATATTTGAGTCATGCGACGGCGTGGTCGGTCATTTGCGGATCCATCACACTTAGACCGGCGAGCCCGTGCCACGAGGCCCAAGTGATACCCATCACATACGTCTCCTCTATGCATTCTGCTACAGTACATTCGGCCAAGGCGTGGACCTGTTCTGTCATATGAGTCTCAAGGAATATCTTCAGTAAACAACACAGTTCAGGCGCCAGCACTGCATCTCGCCTTACCCGCATAGGACAGTCCGACCGACACAAACGACGAGATGCACCGCATGCTACACAGAGCAGGTGCAGCGCCTGTTATTTGCGCGAGAATTAGTTTATAGTGAGGCAAGCTTGCACTGCATCTACCACACTCCGTCTTCTCTTACTTACCTTGCTCTGATGGCGAGACAAAGTCGAGGCAACAGGGGGGTACCGCGGGCGCAGTGGCTGACAAAGTTAAACAGCTTGTCTACGAGTGACGCACATGACGTGCTCTCCAGTTCATCTACCGGGTTACACGAAAAGACCTGACCCCCACCCGCCCCCCTAAGTACAATGTAGATATTCTTGCGTGCTAACATTCAACGCCACGCCGATGTTGACGGAGTGAATCCCATGATTGTTGCGGGTGAAGAAGGGTGTTACAGGTACAGTAGGTGGGCTAACGCATGAAATGTCAACCTAGATTCCGAAATGCGTTTTCGTTTCGAAAAGATTAATTAAGTAGGGTTGTAAAACTAATCCTCCTGCAGCATAATTCTATAATAATTCAGTTGCCTCAGGAGGCCGGCTTTCGAATGAACTTCTTTTCGGCTGCATGCAGAAACTACACTCTGTGAAAAACGACAACTTATATGTCATGCATTTTTCTCACCGATTTTCGATGTCCTTGAAAATTCAATTATATTTCATGGAAAACATGCGTAAAAATATTAATTATTTTGCCCATTCGGTAGAAAACTACGTCTTCTTACAATTTTATACTCGAAGGAATGGAGAAATTCGGTTTTAAAATAGTTTATAATTGTAAAGTTTTTTAATACTGTGAAGTGGGCGTTCATAAAACGGTATGTCTCTGCATTTACCAATGTGGCTTATAAAATTAATAATATGGCTCAAATCCACTGTTAAGCGTTATGAAGCCCATATGGTCCCCTTCTTACACCGTAGGGAAATGTATGGTTATCCCATACGCGAAAATATGCGGCTTGTAGTTTGGAAAACCTGAATGCACGTGTAATGGCAGGTCGGGTTTCAAAATTACTCGAGAATTAAAAACGTTTTCGAAAACCGAACGATACCGTTCCTTCGAGTATTAACTAGGAAGAAGACGTAGTTTTCTAACAAAAGAATGAAGGAATGAATATTTTTATGCATGCTTTTTACGAAATATAATTGAATTTCTAAGAGCACCGGAAATCAATGGGAAACGTGCATGTTACATAAGTAGTCATATTTACAGGGTGTAGTTTCTGCATACAGCTGAAAAGAGATTAGCTCGAAAGCCGCCATCCGGAAAAAAACTTAATTATTATAAAGTTATACTGTATGATGATTCGTTTTACAACCCTACTTAATTAATCATTTCGAAACGAAAACGCATTTCGAATTTCTATGAACATTTCATGAGTTAGCCCACCTACTGTAGATGTCCTATATTATGTATGTGTTGTGCCTAGATTTATGGTTGTGTATCGTACCCCTAAAACGGACCTCGTGGTAAATGCGCTGGACCAACACGGGGGCTAGATCGGAGTCCGCCAGACTCTATCAGAAGTACGCATTCATAACTAATGTCAACATTGGGGTGTGGTAGCACGTCCAGCTGCCCGTTCGCGTCGCTCCAACTGGGATCCTTGTCGCTCCCCCCTGTTTGCCTTGCGGTATAAAATCTTGATCAGTGTATGTTGTGGACCAGGGGGTGTAGTGGCACACCTAGGTGCAGGTTTTTGCCGTGCCAGTCACCTGTAACCTCTCCCATTTCTAGTAATCTTGATTCTGTTCTGACCCCGGACACAGGTGGGCGATGATGAGAGAGTGCGGCAGATGCTGCGCCACCCAATAACATTATAAACTAATGCATAAGAACGCCACCGTGCCTACTCTCACCCTGTTGTTGAGCACACGGTGAACAGGGTCGACAACGACGGTTGCATTTTCGTCGTGTGTGTGTGTGTATGCGTGTTGTCCCTACAACGGGCTGCGCTACAAATGCGCTTATCGGACAGCACAGAGTCCGTGTGAGCCCATAATTACTGGCGTACATGCGTGTGGTGGCACACCTTAGACGCACGTCTTCACGCCATGTCAGCCCCTCATCCCCAACTCATCACCATTTGGTTGACAGATGCGGACTTCGACTGGCATGTCCCACCGTGACCGCTCATTTCAATCACACTTGGGCCTGATGGAAAATGTGCGATTCATCTTAGTGCAACTTGATAACGAATTCCCGGAGTCTCGAACGACAGCCGTCATACCCGACTCAACTATCCATACAGTTTTCAAGCATTCGGACGTCACATAGGCCTATTGGACCATGTACGCTTGTCCGGCGATGGCCAGTAGATCAGTACATCTCAGGTCTTCCTTACATCAAGTTGCTTTACAAGCACAGGCAAAAGCACCTGGACAAAACATTGGCCATTTCGGTCACGCGCGCATTCACGTTAACTATCGACAAAAGGTCACACACTATCCATATAAAATTCATACGATAGAAATAAATAATGTCGATTTGCCGGTCGAAAATTCTGTTTGGAACATATGCGCGCTTTACGTTTGCACTTAAGTGAAGTTCGGATTTGTGAAATGAGGTACCGGCACGCGTATGGTACGCGTAAACGGACGCCCTAGCGTCATGCCAGTCATTAGGCCCTTTGTCATCGCTACTCAGACCACAGATTCATAACGGCACAGGCGCATGGGAGCTTCGTTCTTCATTACAAATAGACGTACTGCTTACTGCAAAACTCAGACACACTTCTGCTCCTCACCCACCCCCGCAAAAAATGACACCTACTTTGTTCTTCTCAACAGCGAAACTGTACTCTTCGTCGGAACTGAGCAGTTAGCTCTGAAATAATGGAACGATGCAAGAGTATCGACAATCTACGAAGGAGAATCACAACTAGGTTTCGATAATTACCTCCCAACTAGGCTAACTTGCCTGTTGCGTGCAATAGAAGAAATTTCTTAAAGCATCTGAAATAAAGTGGTATGTTGTACGCTGTTAAGCGGGACTTTCTTTGAAATTTCCATTTGACAGGGTCTTATGATGACCTCGCCTATACTTGTAAATCATCGATTGAGGACGTCACTGAGGCAGTTAACCCAGTACCCCAAAATTTCGGCCAGGAGAATCGACCCGTCGGAAATATGTAAACAAAATATATTTCATTTCATTGCCATCCGCCTGCCCTTCGACTTATTCGCATCTGCCCCAGCCCCTGCTACAAGAGGCCTCGCCCTTGAAAGGAGGCTGCATTGTAGGCTTCAGTTCTGGGTTTGAATAGTCAGTTCGACCGTCGTGGACGACGTTGCCACCGTGTGCCCCAGAATGTGGCGGGAGCAGGGAAGGTGATTTGTTAGTGAGACAGGTCATGATTGTAGACTAGCGCTGCATCTACCACACTCTCTCCTCCCTCACCCACTTGAGCCCGATGTCAAGACAAAGTAGCCAATACTGGGAGCGAGATCAGGCGCAGTGGTTGACAATGCTAAACAGCCTGCCTGCCTGCGCGTGCCGCATACGCCTGATTCGCGCACGATAACCCGGATTTACGCACAAGGATTAAAGGTGCGTCTCAGATTCTAACTAAATAGGAGTGAGATAGGGGCCAAATTAGGATGGAGGCATTGTAGCCTGACCCTCTGTCCTGAGATAGAGGACCGAGTTATCCCGTCAGTTGCCAGCCTTCCAAATGACGGTTTTTAGCCTACGGAAATAGTTTAAATGCATGCCAGATAGTTTAATGTGAGAAATATGCGTCAACGTGCTGTGGGGGCGTAGTCCCTGGAGTCGACTTCATTCTCCCTTCCCTCTCTGAGGAATTAGTCCACTGTCCTAGCCGGTCTGCATTTGCCGCACACGACCTGACTTCCCGCACAACAAACGCTGTTTTCACACAAATGGATACTTAGCTCGTATCTCACATGTGTGATGTTGCCACATGAAGTCAGTGAAGATGGATTGAGTTGGACAACTTTTACTGTTGAGGAAGTGCGTACACAAGGCTCTGCAGGTAGTCGCCGCAAGCGGTCTGTCCAGGCAAGTCGTTTTGTCCGTGTCCGCAGTCGAGGTTATTAGCCGCCCTCCCCCCAGCGCGTGAGTGAGCCGTTCAATCTGTCTCAGTTAGCGTCCGCCAGCCAATCAAGGAAGGAACAGCGTTGATTGGCTTCGAGCTCTTGCGCGGCTAGTGACAAGCCTCGCGCAGTCACAGCTACGAATCGACAGGGAGCGTGAGGCGGACAGAAGCGCAGATAGACAAAGAGGCAGAGAGCAGGGAAGCGCGGACTGCCACAAATGTGCTTCCTGGATGGACGTTCTTGATTTGATTTCCGTGGACACTGACTCAGGATGTACTGTGTCGCACACTGGGTGACAGTTGACGCATGACCACCGTTTTGTTCTTATTTGTGCTCAGTCCGAAGTGGGCGCAGAAAGCGGCGAAGAGGTCGTTGTTTTGAGTCTGTAGTCGTTGGTGAAGAGCAGGTCGTGGAGTGTGGCCGTAGATAGCCACTTTAGGGCCTTCATGCGCTTGCTGTTGAGTAGGCGATGCAACTGACAGGGCGCTCATCACAGTAGGCTTCCATCAGCATGACAATGTACATGAGGATGAAGATGGTGGCAGCGAGTACGCAGTCTTGCTTCACTCCATCGGTCACTGCGAATGCTTCGTAGATTGGGCCTCTGTCTGTGAGGCGCGCCCTCATCCCATCGTGGAGCTGATGTACCATGTGCGTGGATCGCATGGGACAGCCGAACTTCTGTTTGATTCTCCACAGTCCTTTGCGATTCGCCGTGTTGAAGGCCGCCGTCAGATCCACGAAGGCAGTGTATAGGTGAGCCCGCATCACTCTTCACTTCTGTTGTAGCTCGTGGGCAGCAAAGATCTTATCTGTGGTGTTCCTCTGTCGCCGGAATCCACATTAGCTTTCCGGCGGAAATCCTTGCTCTAGGTGGCCGTTGAGACGATTGAGGAGGATGCGAACGAAGATCGTCTGGGCGATGTTGAGTAGCAAGATGCCTCTGTGTTTGCCACGGAGTTGCCGGTTGCCTTTGCGCTTATACAGATGGACGATGGTCGCGTCCTAGAAGTCCTTAGGTGTTGTTCTTGACGCCACATCTCCTGGAAGATCGCCGTGATGTGATCCATTAATCGGTGGCTGCCGTTCCTGCAAATTTTAGCTGGGATTGGATTGGAGCCTGGTATTTTTCCGCTTCAGGGTTGTTGCACAACACGGATGTTTTTAGGAGGGGGGGGGGGGCGAGAGATCCAAACTGCTGTTGACCTCCACATTGGGGAGCCGGTTGATGGCAGCGTGGGAGATTATAGAGTAGTGGTTGAGGACGCCTCTGAAGTGTTCGGTCTATCGCTTCAGAATCTATGACTTCTCCGTCAGAAGCCTTGATCCAGCAGAGTTGAGAAGCAGCGCGCTTCCCTTGATTTGGGCGGCCATAGATCGCCTTGAGCGAGGGAAGATGTTTTTCGCTTAATCGAGATGGACATATTCCTGCATTTCCTCAGCCTTGAGATCCATCCATACGTCATGTATTTCTCGCAACCGTTGCTGCACAAGGCGACGGCACTGGTAGAAGGCCACTTTGTTTGCATAGGTTTGGATGGTGGAGGTTGGCTCTGTTGAGCCTGTCTGTTTTGGCGAGCAGGTTGCTGATGACAGCGGCGTTGTCTTCAAACAATAACTGATGTTGGCAAGGTGCACGATCGAGGACGTGCAGGGTAATCGAGTGGGTGACGTTGCGCAGTTGACACCACCGAGTGTCCGCAGTGGCGTTTTCGTCCGGGGCTGGCAGTTCTTCCAGCTGCTGGGTCAGTTGATTGCTGAAATGCAAACGGTGGGCAGGCGAATTCAACAGAACTGTATTCAACTGACTCGGTGGTCGCATACATTGTGGCTTCTTGCTGGGTGGCGGACGGCGCCTCATTTTGGAGATGACAAGGCAGTGGTCCGTCCAGTCATCGGCGTCGCAGATCGCCTTGGTCCCCATCACGTCCTGCCGCTCTTGCCGTCGGACTGGAAAACAGTCCTACAGCTGCCATCTACGTGTTTGGGAGTGCATTCAGGTAGGCTTCCTCTGCATCGGCAGGGGAATAATATGTTGGCTAGTAGAAGGCGGTGTTCAACACAGGTCTGCAGAAAACGCAGGGCATTGTCGTTGCAGCCGACGATTCCGTAAATGCCCAGCACTGCCCCCAGTCAATGCTATCTGTCCCGACGCGGGCATTGACGTCACCAAGGACAATCAACTTATCCGTCTTCGGCACAGACGCCAGTAGGCCGTGCAAATCTTCGTAGAATTTTGCCTCCTCTTCGTCTGGGCCAGTCATTGGTGGGGCGTAGGCGCTGATGATGATGATGTCGGCGAAGTTGGATCCTGAAGGAGTGGACGAAGACTCATTAGCCGGTGGTTGATGCACTGCGAAAGACAGGGCAGTCGTCCCACGATGTTGTTCGAGAGGGCAAGAACGACGCCCGCGTCTCGTGGCTCTGCCCTGGGGCGGCTGCCCCAGAGGAAGTTGTAGCTGGCACACACCTCCTCTTTTTGTCCTCGTTTGGAGAAGCGGGTCTCGCTGAGTGCAGCAACGTCCACCTTTTAGCGCGCCAGTTCCCGAGCCACAAGCGCCGTCCTTTTTTCCGGTCGGTTGCCCCAGGGATTTTCTGAAAAGGGACGAATGAGATGACTCGCCCTAGCAGCCTATGGGATGGCGCAAAAGGGAGGAGGAGGTAAAGTTAGAGAGAGAGAGAGAGAGAGAGAGAGAGAGAGAGAGAGAGAGAGAGAGTACTGGTTCTGTTTTGATGGTTTTGACCGCATGTGTAGCAGTCTGCCAGCCGCGGTCTGCCTGCCTATGTCGTGAACCCAGCTTTGTTTAGGGCACCTTTTCGATCTGTCCCTAAATAGAACTGTTTAGGTATCCCAAACGTCCGCCGAACTCCAGTATGGATCACATCCCTGCTTAATGCAGGGCGAACTGGCAGCCTACGTGAATGCATTTCGGTCTCTCTGATTGAGTACCTGATGCGGGAAAAAGTAATTGCTCGAGGTATTGTGGGTGGTGGAATGGGGGCAGCTGCGTGGTTGAAGTGGAAGAGAGGAATTTGGAAGTGATAAGGGTTGGGGATTGAAGAGTTTTGTCTGTTTTGGGGATACACAGCCCCGGATATCGCTACCTTCTTCGGCACGCCGATCGAGGCAGTTACGATACGAGGCAGTGCGATACGTTTTAGCCTGGCAGCCTACGTGATTGCATGTCGCTCTCGCCGTAGGATCTTCGACCGGGGGGTAAGAGATTAGAACAGAGAGTAGGGAAGGGGGGAGATTGTGGAAAGAGACAGGGGGAAAAGGACGGAGGAGGAGGGATGGGGAGTGGGAGGATTAGCGGGAAGGAGAATGGGGGGAGGGCGGAGGTGGAATGCGGAAGGAGAGGACGGAGGAGATGGGGGGAGTAGAAAATGGAAGAGAATGGATGCAGATAGAGTGGAAGAAGGAGGGAGGGGTATTTAATTACCGTGTTGGGGGACACATACCCGGATGCCCTTACCTGCTTCTGCCCGCCGGTCGAGGCGGTTACCGGTGTTTGGCCGCGAGGCTAACCTAGCTTCGAGTAGCGGCACGTGATAGTTTGTTGCCGGTTGATGGACGCTGGGTGTGGCAGGTGGACGACCTACAACGACCTTGACATGGACCCACACCTGGACACCCCTATACTCCCGTTTGTGGCAACGCGGTTGGCATAATCGCAAATGGCGGTGGAATTGTCAATACTGCGACAACAGCTACAAAATGGACTTGATTCAATGATAAACAGTACGCGGGAATACAGTAAAGCGTGACGTCAGTACTGCCCTGAATAACTGACAGTAGCCTCTTTTCCAAGTATCAGGGCAATTAAATTATCTTTATTAAGTTCGCCTCCTCTTCTTCCTCGACGGCATCATCATTTCACTTTTAGCCTCCTATCTACGTGAAACAAAGTTCAGGCAGAAGTGCAGAAAAACGACTCCATCTGGCTGTTCAAATGTCATTTTGCAAATGTGCAATTCTTTATACGTCATAACCCATTGAAAAGTCCCCGTCTCCTTGAAACCTCAACCCTTTGTACCTGGGCCTTTTGATTTATTTACTGTGGGAATAAAAGAGCCAGTTCCTGAATGGTTAAGAGGACCATTCTTTCGAGACGTTCCAACTCCTAACACGGTTTAATGTCTGTAAACGGCATTTTTGTTGTTTCTGTCTAAACGAATTGATTAAACTCAAACTCGAGCTGTAATTACAACGAACGCTTGAAGAGTGTTATGAAACTGATCATTTAAACAGTTTTCAAAGTCCTCCCACCTATGGCTAAGACTTCCATCTGCGGGGACACGTTTTCAGCGGACAATGGGACCAGAGATGTCTAAAAGCAGGCTAGAGATGATTTGCGTAAACCTAGACGAACCTTCGGTCCAATGAATATCAGTCCTAGTTGGTGCTCCCAGTACCCTCTGATGCACTAATAACTGTGCGAGTATGGAAAACCCACAAAAATGTTTGTTGGTCCCTAAGCCGGCAAAGTTCCGTAAGGCCTCCCTGAACACTCATTAAACGGTAAGATTCGTTCGGCCCCCGTTGGACCAAATTGGGAAAAAAGCGTCTACTGTGGCTGCCAAGCCAATCACAGCTAGGGGACAGGCCGGATGGCTAAGCGACGGCCACGCGGATCGCCCCTTTCAGCCGCTGTCATTGGCCAAGTAGGAATGACGTCACTGGACGCACTGGTGTATCGATCGGGCCTGGTAACAGTTTCGTCCTCCCATCTGCGAGCATCGTAAAAAAGAATCAAAAGCGGCCTGCCGCAGGCAGCCATAGAATCCGTGTCAGGTTAGCGCAGCCA